GAGGGAAGTCTTTTAAGTTTTGCATATGGAAATAAAACAACACGGTAGGTAGTTTTAAATGACTTTATTGTTTTTCGAAGTATTCTGCAGGAAGATTAATACACATCTAAACGCGGCTTTCTGAAGTTCATAATTTAGCTACGACAAACTCAAACTTATATGTTATTCCTACGCACTCTTCAAGCAAGTTTAAAAGTAGTTTTAGCTGCATGGCTCCAACCAATTTGAACAAAGAGGTTGAACTATTTGACGAAAATTCCATACAACGGTTTAAAAAATACTACATGCTATATCTTCTTAACAAGCAAAAAGGTGTGTACTAATACGATGTTACTGTATCAGTTTCATGTACTGTAATCGTGAATTCCATCTATTATTTGGCGTTATGACCTTATCTCTATCTATTTATATTTTCATTTTTCTGTAGTTACTTACTTGTCCATTTATACAGTTTAAATGTAGAATGTACTTTTATATACTGATTGTAATATGTTAACCATGTTATTTAACTATATCTGTCTGATGTCTATTATCAATCTATTCTTTCGCAATTTATACTATTTATATAATAAGTGACATATTAATCCGAACACCCAGTTTAAATGGTTTTATTTTAATAAAATTTTGTATAAATACTTAATGAAGCATAATAAGTAAATGATAAAAATTTCAAAATGATTGCACTGCTTTAAAGCCCTTTGACCTTTAATAATGTGTGGATGCACCCTGGTGTGCTACGCATTCTCCAACGCGCCTAGGCATGCTTCTGATCAGGTGGTCAATGTCCTCCTGTGGTATCTCATTCCAGGCAACCACCAACTCCTCTCGAAGTGCTTCTAGAGTCTGAGAAGGACGTTGCAAATTGAGCAATCTCCTACCCATCATATCCCACACGTGCTCAATTGGGGATAAGTCGGGAGATCTTGGTGGCCATGGCAACAATGTGACATCATTATGTTGAAAGAAGTCTATTGTGACTCTTGCAACATGTGGTCGGGCATTATCTTGTTGGAAAGTTGGATCTGCCAGGGTGTCAAGATAGGGTAAAAGGTGGGGTTCTAGAACTTCGTGGATATAACGCTGCGCGTTCATGTTACCTCTGATGAAGATTAAAGGTGACCTGGAACCATAAGCTATAGCACCCCAAACCATAACTCCAACAGTGTGATGAACATGTCTTTCAACAAAAAACTGTGGACTCCTCCTTTCACCACGTCGCCTTCTAACCCTGGCACGACCATCGTGCATACCTAAACAAAATCGAGACTCGTCACTAAAGACAATACTGTTCCATTCCTGATCCCAGAGTGACCGTTGTCTGCACCACTCAAGGCGATTACGTCGGTGTTCTCGAGTTAAAGGGAGGATCCAGTGTGGCCGGTATGAAAACAAGCCAAAACTTCTCATTCGTCGGTAAACACTTCGCATGCCAATAGGTCTTCCGTGTTCTGCAAACCATTCATTTGCAATGGACCTGGTAGTGGAGAAACGGTCCCTTAAGGCCAATAATCTTAGGCGGCGATCTTCACGGTCTGTTGTTCTACGGCGGCGTTCAGTGCCCCTTGCTCTTTGCGTACGGCCTTCTCGAAGCCATGCCTGACAACACCTAACCACAGTGTCTACACTTCTTTGCACTCTGACTGCAATTGCCCGAAAAAAAAGTCCAGCTTCCAGAAGTCCCACTATACGGCCCCTATCAAACTCACTAAGTTGACGAAATCGTACAGGTCTTCGTACTCTAGGCATCGTAACCGATCGTAAAGGATGTCAAGAACCAAAATCCGCCATCGTTGATTCTTTACTGCGGCTGAAATATTCATTTTTAGAGCGTTAGTGAATTAAAAAAAAACAGTATAAAAACCGGAATGTCCAACTGATAAGGCTGAAAGTTTTTTCACTTGTTATTTACAGTAAGATAAATACATTCACCAACTTTTATTAAAATAAAACCATTTAAACTGGGTGTTCGGATTAATATGTCACTTAGTATATTTTCTTAGTGTTAGTTAAAAATTCATGCTATTTGGACCATCAACGTATTAAAAACGTACTATTGGTTATAATTGATGAGAAAAAATCTCTACGATACGAAATTTTGAAAACGGCTCTATTTAAAGTCACCTTTCAAAATTTAAACATGATCAGTAACTTATTGTTGACATGTTGTTACTTTTTCAAAAAACACCTGATCCACGCAAAAACACATTATTTTGCACCAAATTAACAACTCCGCGCCTTAAACCAAATAAGACGTTATGTTATTATTAGAGTACCTGGCTAAAATTGTTAACAAAATCCGTTAATTGAGATTATTTCTGAAACCCTATTTTGGGTAACAATATTGTGGTCATATTTAACAAACAAAAATCCTGCGCATATATTTTTCGTTCACTTGCGACCGAAAATCTATAATAATTTCGAAATAATTCTATTACAATCACTACCATAAATGGAAGCCATTTCTTTAACACACTTGGCGATAGACAAGTGAATCACCAGCTAATTTTATTTTCAACCAATAGCTCATCTATGTATGAACAAGAGAGCGACATAGTGTTGTAGCGTTTTTCTTGGTTCTTTTGGGTGTGGATTAAAACACTTGATTCCACAAAAGGATATGCACTAATTTATTTAACTTTATAGAACATTTATATACACCACTATTTATGTCTGACTAATTCTTATGACAGCACTATACTCCACTCCGCTCTGCTTCCATCTCCCGGCCGCCTAGTTATATATAGTTCCAATTGCTGCTTCGACAAATGCCGGGTGAACCACAAAGCGACATCTAGAATATTGGAGGTCCCTTCGCGTCGATCTAGCAGGCGATCTACTGTCACGATCCTCACAGACGCCGCCAGGCGGCTTGTGCGGTCGTGGTTCGCGTAAAGGCAGAGATCGGTAATTAAGCTCTGGCGAGTAGGAGACTGAAGATGGCGCCAACAGAACTATTTTTCACAGTATGTTTTCTTTATTGTAAAACTGACTTCAGGCTCATGTGATTTTATAGATCAAAATTACTACGATTATACCACAGGTTGCCCTAAATAGTTTTTTATATCTTTCGACTCATTAGTAATCATCTCTCGACTTAATATTGACTTCTAAATTGCGTGGAAGTAAATAGAACCTTTTTAAATTAGTCATGAAATATTTTCAATGTTTTGCGGTCGAATCAACGTGATTATAACTTAAAATATTTGTTGGACATTTAGCCTAAGAAGCATCTTCTGATTCAGTTTGAAAAATAACACATTTGACTGAATCTAAATGTTGCCGGACCGGAAATTGCGTCAAAAGTTGCTTCAACCTTTTTCATCGAAACATTGTTTTTCAGATTCCAAACAGAGCTTTTCGCTCTGAATAAAAAGGTTCATAAGAACTTTTCTCTAAAGTTGATAGTTTTCAAAGATAAACTAAGTGACATATAAATCCGAACACCCAGTTTAAATGGATTTATTTTAATGAAAGTTGGTGAATGAATTTATCTTACTGTAAATAACAAGTGAAAAAATTTCCAGCCTTATCAGTTGGACATTCCTGTTTTTATACTGTTTTTTTTAATTCACTAACGCTCTAAAAATGAATATTTCAGCCGCAGTAAAGAATCAACGTTGGCGGATTTTGGTTCTTGACATCCTTTACGATCGGTTACGATGCCTAGAGTACGGAGACCTGTACGATTTCGTCAACTTAGTGAGTATGATAGGGGCCGTATAGTGGGACTTCGGGAAGCTGGACTTTATTTTCGGGTAATTGCAGTTAGAGTGCAAAGAAGTGTAGACACTGTGGTTAGGTGTTGTCAGGCATGGCTTCGAGAAGGCCGTACGCAAGGAGCAAGGGGCACTGGACGCCGCCGTAGAACAACAGACCGTGAAGATCGCCGCCTAAGATTATTGGCCTTAAGGGACCGTTTCTCCACTACCAGGTCCATTGCAAATGAATGGTTTGCAGAACACGGAAGACCTATTGGCATGCGAAGTGTTTACCGACGAATGAGAAGTTTTGGCTTGTTTTCATACCGGCCACACTGGGTCCTCCCTTTAACTCGAGAACACCGACGTAATCGCCTTGAGTGGTGCAGACAACGGTCACTCTGGGATCAGGAATGGAACAGTATTGTCTTTAGTGACGAGTCTCGATTTTGTTTAGGCATGCACGATGATCGTGCCAGGGTTAGAAGGCGACGTGGTGAAAGGAGGAATCCACAGTTTTTTGTTGAAAGACATGTTCATCACACTGTTGGAGTTATGGTTTGGGGTGCTATAGCTTATGGTTCCAGGTCACCTTTAATCTTCATCAGAGGTAACATGAACGCACAGCGTTATATCCACAAAGTTCTAGAACCCCATTTTTTACCCTATCTTGACACCCTGGCAGATCCAACTTTCCAACAAGATAATGCCCGACCACATGTTGCAAGAGTCACAATAGACTTCTTTCAACATAATGATGTCACATTGTTACCATGGCCACCAAGATCTCCCGACTTATCCCCAATTGAGCACGTGTGGGATATGATGGGTAGGAGATTGCTCAATTTGCAACGTCCTCCTCAGACTCTAGAAGCACTTCGAGAGGAGTTGGTGGTTGCCTGGAATGAGATATCACAGGAGAACATTGACCACCTGATCAGAAGCATGCCTAGGCGCGTTGGAGAGTGCGTAGCACATCAGGGTGCATCCACACATTATTAAAGGTCAAAGGGCTTTAAAGCAGTGCAATCATTTTGAAATTTTTATCATTTACTTATTATGCTTCATAAAGTACTTATACAAAATTTTGTTAAAATAAAACCATTTAAACTGGGTGTTCGGATTTATATGTCACTTAGTATATAAGCCATTAAATATTTGATCAAATTAAAAATATGCCGTTTCAACTACAAACAATTATATGAAGAATATGACATGAAGAATTGCAATCTGACAGTTGTAATTGCACATACTTGACACGTCGTCTTTCCTTCAGTATTGGAATTAATAAACTAGGAAAACTGATTTTGAAACAAATTTACTTATACTCCAGTGTCACAAATTATCTGCCTAATATCCCTTATAATATACTGGAGCAACATGTGAATAAAAATTTGGCACCTTGAAAAACATTTTCTCGTTTTTTATCTGCCTATCGAAAGGATACAACAATGAACGGGGTTCTTCCTCATCAACATTTTCCTGGAAAGCTACCACGAAGAATCTGTATGGAAAACCATCGGGGGTGCCCAATGGTAGAGCAAACCTGGAATAAGAACGCATCGTATTTAATACTGCGCAAAATTTCATTGGCATTAAATTTTTATATGTATCAGTCAACCATGTGACAGGTCTTGTTTTTTGTCACGATTGCTCAGGATCCGGTTGCAACACATAATACAAAAACCAATAAAATGGTAAATAGAGAGATAGATGATTATAAAATTTATTTTCATTGTCGTGTTGTTATGACAAAACAGTTCAAAGATAGAAATATTTTTTTGGAATGTATGAGGGAATCAGTATCGCTATATAGTAGTCACTGTAGTTCTCTTAAATTTAAACAGCAGTAGTTACTTCAACAGTTATCCAGGAATTTGTGAACATGAATAAAATTGATAATGGAGTGACAAAAACAAATCAAATGGGAAATAGATAGATAGATAAATATAGAAAATATTGTAATTGTCGTGTAGTTGTGTAGTATTGAATAAGCTATGACAAGACGGTACGAAAATGGAAATATTTTTTAGAATCTATAAGAGAATCGGTATCGCTATATAGTAGTAACTGAGGTTCTGTAAAATTCAAACAGTGGTAGTTACTTCAACAACTATCCAGAATTTTGTGAACATGAATAAAGTTGATATTGGAGCGACAAAAAAACAAATCAAATGGGAAATAGGACGATAGATAAATATAAAAGATATTGTTATTGTCGTGTTGTAGTATAGTATTGAAAAGCTATGACAAAACGGTACGAAAATGGAAATATAGTTTAGGATGTATAAGAGAATCGGTATCGTTATACAGGGTGACTTCGAAGTTGAGTCATTTATTTTAACAGTGAGTAGATCTGATCAAAAGAGATGTTTTTTTCCTTTACCATTTTTCTGGTAAAATTAAAGTAACAAAGTTATAGCCCTTTGGAAGTTTGAGTACCGCCCTGTCTCAATAATAATATTATGTGCTCGTATTTGGCGACAACGGATATAATTCGCCTTATCGGTTCATCGCATCGGAAACAAAAAAGCGAAAGAATTTGGAACGATGTTTTTACAATTATTTCATTCAGTTGTATTCAGTCAGTGTCAGTCGGTAGTGGATAGTGGTGTCTGTTGCGTGGCTCAAACGAAATAAAAAATGGCACATGTTTATGCGGATCGGTTTCCCAATCGAGTGCAACCAACCCCTCGTGCCTTTGTTAATGTAGTACAACGGGTTCGTGAATCATTTGACTTAAGACCTCACATATGGACGGCATGCCGGTGCTCCAAGACCTCACGATCAAATACAGGTCCGCACTGAAATACTTGTCGGGAGGATACTTTATAAAACAAGGTAAGTTTTTTTTTAATTTTTTTTTATTGTTACACACATATTTTGGTTTATCCTTCTACAATCATTATCTGAAAATTAATGACTCAACTTCAAAGTCACCCTGTATAGTAGTAAGTGAAGTTATGTAAAATTCAAATCGTGCTAGTTACTTCATCAGTCATCCAGGACTTTGTGACCATGAATAAAAGTTGACAATGCTGCTCATTAGCGTGATCAGAAATTTTCTTTGGGGTGCTTGAATATTCAAATCACCGCGTCGCTGGTAACATTACCTTAGAGGCCAGGCATAGGTGCTGTTCAAATCAAACGTCTCCATCTTATAAGTAGTATTGCCAGCTTTTGCACTGAGTATATCCCGATATGTGTCACTGAACATTCTATCATCTGATGTGAAGTAAGGAGAGTCGGTGATGTTCCTTACTATAGTGTTATTCCCTTCTTGTAGATGGTATGTGAACCTGTCTAGATGAAACATATGTAGTCGATGCTGAGACAACCTTACAGGTACTTGTCTAGGGTTGCATGATGGTCCAATGAAGACCTAGAATATTTTGACATTCATTCTAACGAAATATACTGAGGACGGAAAAGGTATGTTTTTTAGAATTCAAAATTTTTTTACATATCGATTTGCCATGAACAACAAGTAATAAACTGGTCAGGTTTCACTGTTAAGTTTCTGTGGTAGCTGCGTGTATTGTTTGGTGAGAAAGAAGCATTTAGTTTTCGTACATTTATGATGTCAGTTAAATGTTAAATTTCGTGGGAGTTATGATATATGGTGCTATTGCTTATGGTAGAGGCAATATGACAGCCTGACGCTATATTCAGGATATCAACCACCTTATCAGCACGATGTCCAGGCGTGTCAATGAGTGTACAGGAAATCGTGGATCCTCAACACATTATTGAACCAGCTTCTGCAATCAAGCTGAAAATTTAATCATCTTACTAGTAAGGGACACTGAACATATACAGGGTGTCCCAGAAGTCGACGTCAAGCCGAAACCGGGTGATAGGCAAAGTCATAACAGCTATCAGAAAAATATTTAAAAAAATTTTATGTATGTGTTTTGAAAATTATAGGCCTTTGAAAAAGATATAGAAATTTCACACACTACGGCAGTCTGTCAACATATACAGGGACATGTGGTTTCAACATGACCGCTGCCCAGCGCACTATGCACTCTCAGTGAGAGAGTATCTCGATCAAAACTTTCCAGGCAGATGGATAGGGCGGTCTGGTACAATACCGTTGCCAGCCCGGCCACCAAATTTGAATCCGTTAGATTTTTTTTACTGGGGAACTGTAAAAGAAAAAGTGTATTTCAAGCCGATTCAAAATGTAGCTGAGCTACGGCAAAGACTATTGGAAGCAGCTGAGTTTGTTAATAACCGTGGATTCGCTCGTTTAATAACCCGATCTTTTTTAAGAAGATGTCGAGCGTGTATTGCGGCTGAAGGAAAACAGTTTGAGCATTTGCTGTAAAGGTAAATCATCATCAGCAGCATTTTGACGCCCACTGTTGTGCAAACTGTTATCCTTAAGGGTCCTTGTGCGTTTCCATAATCGCTGTATAATTAGGAAATTTTGAAAAATTTTCATCAGTTTTTCTTCAAATAAAAATTGTGCATAAGTTAACGAGTAATCTTCTAAGTGTTATACCATTTTGGAATCGTTATTAAATGCGCCAACTTTTAAGGTTACTTGCCAAACTCTCGTAGTACATTTTTTCCAGCACAGCCAGTTAAAGTTGAGCAAAGTTTTACTTTGGAATACTTGGTTGGGAAATAAGTGGCAATTTTTTCTGAACGAGAAAAGTTAGCAGTAAGGTTGAGACACCAGTTTGAAGATGCATTATTCAGCATTACATTTTAAAAATAAAATCCAAAATAAGTTAATATTTGTAGTAACAGGAGTTGACAGACTGCCGTAGGGTGTGACATTTCTATATCTTTTTCAAAGACCTATAATTTTCAAAACACATACATAAAATTTTTTAAATATTTTTCTGATAGCTGTTATAACTTTGCCTATCACCCGGTTTCGGTTTGACGTCGACTTCTGGGGCATGCCAAAGATTATTAAAATATGAGAAACGTACGTAGCTGTTTACTTTTTTTTGTCACTCTGTATATCCACTTAAGACAAGTGTACCTTAAAGCACATTTTTTTGCTAGCTTCTGACTGAACGTAAATGCTATACGTAAAGTTGTCGGTTCTAGGTCGCATCTGATTTAGGTGTACTTGGAAATCACCAAACGTCTCATTCTCAGTGTGATTCACAGCGTTGACTAAGTCTATTTTGAAAAACTCGATATTCCTGGTCAGTGCTTCGATGTTAATTCCTTCAATTTCCACCCCTGGAACCACCAGTTCCTCCAGAGTATAAGGAGGTAGATGGTATAGATACCTGAAAAGTTCGACCTGATTATCAATATTTTATAATTACTGAATTTTCTCTCCACGCAAGTAGGATATTTATCCGGTTTCATCCTAAGTACCTACACGTCAAACATGCAATAATATCAATTGTAGACAGTATAATTTTAATTTTCTCAAAAAAGCCTCGTTATTTTCAAAAAGAACGAGGGAATTGTATACAATCTTATAAGCGCATTTCAGTAGTAGTAGTAGAAAGATTTATTTAGCACATTTGGCTACATAACAGAATAATTGTAAACAACTTAGAACTAGTAAATTCAAGCCATATGGTGTATGATATAAGTGCTGGGCAACCTATAATTGTACATTTAATAAGTGATTTCTCAATTTTACTTTAAATTTTGTCAAAGTTTTCTGGTCTTTTATCTCCGAGTATAATTTATTATATTCAATCAACCCTTGATGGAATACAGATTTGTAGCATATGTTATACTTTTTGGTCATTAAATGGAAGTCTTTATTTCTGGTATTATGTAAATGATGGTCGACATTTGATGATGTTAAATTAGTTAGACTTGATGGAAATATATTATTTTTTACTTTATAAATGAATATCATTACAAGATATTTGATAAAAATTTTTACATTGAGCCATTTTAATTTGCTAAGCATCTTCCTTTCTCACCCTGTATAACTGGATAAATAAAAGAAATATACCGACCGAACCCTATACGTATTGGTCAAGAACCTCACGAATACCGCAATTCAATATCTCTTTCTGTTCCGAAAATATCGAGGTTTGAATTTGGGTAAAATTGTACATGTTTTAAAGCAAATGTCCACCACTTTAGATATCATTTCAATTTACCTCTGGTAAAGGTCAACAATTTTCTTGATGAACCTCCAGAACATTCTGTCTCTTAGCGAAGACTCCAACTGTTCAATAGCGCATGGGACAGTAGGTCCATCCATGAACGCTCGTATCTGGTACCCCAACAGATGCCGAGACTGGTACACGAGCGAACCGTAGAATGGTTGATTTGGAGAATCAGCATTCCCTTCGATAACATTTCCTATGAGATTCACACCTTCTGTGATGTTCGAATATAAGGGAAGGTCACTGCCATTCCGCTGGAAATAAGAGGTTCGATTGGTGATAGGAAACTGGAAGTTCAACAAGATACGCGCTAAATCTACCAGTATTGATCACTGTGCTACGACCACTTGCAATGATCCCTAACATCAACTTATTGGCAATTATATCGGCATGGGTATCATGTAAAAAACCTATAAAACGTCAAAAAAAACTTATAAAATGTCATTTTGCAAACTAGGTAGTTTTTAGGGCGCAAACAGTCATTCCACGTTTGCTAACTAGGATCGTTGTGAACGTCCATCTAAACCTCACGCATTATTGGTTGCATATGTTTTGTGAGACCCAATGATCCTTGTCTGCAGTTTTTATCTCTGAGAAAAAAGTTGGTTGAATAGCAAGATCGCATCTGGATGATTATGTGTATTGATCCTCATGTGTTTAAAATCGGAAGAATGGACAAGAACCCAATGTAATTATCACGGACACATACAACTTACAGCTTAGACTTCCAGTAATGCCACCTCAGAAGCAGATTTTACATCACATCAGAGCCAAAGACTGATAACAAGCCTCATGACATTTAGGCAATACGTACAACTAAGTGCTAAGTTAACATCTTGTAGAAAAGCCTACATAATGTCAAAAAACAAGATTATTTTAAATTTATATTATACAATTTTTCTCGTAAATGTTGTTTCAATTCTAGAAATATTTTGAAATAACTGGGAGCTAGATGTAGCAAATACGATGGGTAATGTAGCAAATCAAATTCTGCTTGGTGCAGGGCAGTCATAGCAATATAAGAGGTAGTAGTAGTAGAAAGATTTATTTAGCACATTTGGCTACATAAACAGAACAATTGTAAACAACTTAGAACTAGTAAATTCAAGCCATATGGTGTATGATGTAAATGCTGGGCAACCTATAATTGTAGATTTAACAAGTGATTTCTCAATTTTACTTTAAATTTTGTCAAAGTTTTCTGGTCTTTTATCTCCGAGTATAATTTATTATATTCAATCAACCCTTGATGGGTCATTGAATGGAAGTCATATTTATTTCTGGTATTATGTAAATGATGGTCGACATTTGATGATGTTAAATTAGTTAGACTTGATGGAAATATCTTATTTTTTACTTTATAAATGAATATCATTACAAGATATTTGATAAAATTTTTTACATTGAGCCATTTTAATTTGCTAAGCATTTGCCTAATTGGAGTATATTTATCTTTATTTAGTATTATTCTCATGCACTTATTTTGTAAAATTGTAAAATTTGCAGTCTTTCAAAAATGGAATTATTTGCTAAATATAGAATAGTCGAACAGTACAAGAAATTTGGAAGAATGATGGTATTATAGATAATTTTTTTGCTATATGAACTCAGACATCCAGAAACTCTCGATAAATATCCCACTTTACTACTAATCTTATTTATAACTTTTTCATAATGAATATCAAACATTACTCGAGAGTCAACAAAAACCCCCCGGTATTTAAAATTTTCTACGAATTCAATATCTTCACCATCAATATTCAGTTGAACATTTATACATTGTTTTTTTTTCGATTAACAAGGCTTTCGTTTTACTTGCATTTAATTTTAGTCTTCATTTATATAAGAGATACCAGACTGAATATTTTTAGTACTTATATAAATCATAGTGTCATCGGCGAAAATTTGAATTTTGCATTTTTTGACTATGGCAGGTAAATCATTTATGTATAAAATAAAAAGAAGTGGTCCCAGGATACTGCCCTGTGGAACACCCAACGTATTTTCAATTTTTGATGAAATAGTGTCATTAACTTTTGTAACTTGCATCCTTTTAGACAGATAATTTCTAAACCAATCTAAAACACTTCCTGTTATACCATATGCCTTCAATTTACCTAACAAAATATCTCTATCAATCGTTTCAAATGCCCTCTTCAAATCCAAAAATACTGCTATGACAACTTCTTCTGAGTCTATGGCTCTTCTCCAATTCTCAGTTACCAACTGGAAAGCTGTTTCTGTGGAATATTTTTTTCGAAAGCCTGCTTGCGCCTCCACTAAAATTTTGTTTTCTTCTACAAACTGCATTAATTGGTCATGCACTATGGACTCTAATAATTTTTCAATGTCTGGTAACACATTTACTGGTCTCATATCGCTGCATCTTTTAGAATTTTTTATTTTGGGAACTGGTGTTATTGTAGAGCATTTCAAATTTTCAGGGAAAGAACTGCTTCTCAGTGAACAATTGATCCAATTTAATACAGGATATCCCAAAATTTCGATACAGTTTTTCTGCACGTTTTTAGTAGTCATTTCGGCACAGTTATTATTTGATTTTAAACTGTTTACTTTTTTTCTTAGATAATTCAATGATACGCTGTGAAATTTTGAAAGTGTATGCAACATTTCCCCCTGGAAACTGATTTTCATATAGTCAGGTGCAGCATTGGCAGTACCCACAATATCAACAAGACTTTCCACAAAATATTCATTTAGTTTGTTTGCAATCACCAAAGAATTTGCTTCGGTACCGTTTTCGAATTGAACTTGATTTACACAATCATGCGGCTTCGAATTGATCAGTCTTTTTAAAGTCTTCCACATCTTTACACTGTCGCACTTGTTATTATCGATTTGTTTATCGTAGAATTTCCTTTTTTCTTCTCTAATTACATATACACATTTATTCCTAAGAATTTTATATACCTCCCAATCATCATTTGATTTTGTGAATATACATTTATTGTATTGTTTGTCTCTCAAATTTTGAGCTGCCTTAATATTCTTGTTATACCAGGGTGTATTTTTTGTCGAGCAAATCACTTTTTTATACGTCTGTATAAATTAATACGTCGTTTAATTTCTACCAATGTTTCTTTGCACTGTACTACTCCATAATATTATCTATTCGCAATTGATTCTTGGGTAAACCAGCGCCTGCGATACCATGTAGTTGGGGCCTGATTCTAAATAAACTTCCACTGTTGAGATTGATTTCGATGACGCGTTGCCGCCATATATATACAGGGTGACTTCGAAGTTGAGTCATTTATTTTAACAGTGAGTAGATCTGATCAAAAGAAATGTTTTTTTCCTTTACCATTTTTCTGGTAAAATTAAAGTAACAAAGCTATAGCCCTTTGGAAGTTTGAGTACCGCCCTGTCTCAATAATAATGTTATGTGCTCGTGTTTGGTTCATCGCATCGGAAACAAAAAAGCGAAAGAATTTGGAACGATGTTTTTACAATTATTTTATTCAGTTGTGTTGTATACAGTCAGCGTCAGTCGGTAACGCGTTTGAATAGTGGTGTCTGTTGCGTGGCTCAAACGAAATAAAAAATGGCACATGTTTATGCGGATCGGTTTCCCAATCGAGTGCAACCAACCCCTCGTGCCTTTGTTAATGTAGTACAATGGGCTCGTGAATCAGGTGACTTAAGACCACACAGGGGACTGCATGCCGGTGCTCCAAGACCTCACGATCAAATACAGGTCCGCACTGAAATACTTGTCGGGAGGATACTTTATAAAACAAGGTAAAATTTTTTATTTAATTTTTTTTTATTTTTACACACATATTTTGGTTTATCTTCCTTCTACAATCATTATCTGAAAATTAATGACTCAACTTCAAAGTCACCCTGTATAAGCCGCTATGATGGTTTTTACATCTGAACCTAGAGATCTTTTATAGTCAAAGTATCATGGCATTGTCAGTTTTATCATAGTAGGTCAAATACATGACCGCAAGGTACAATCGACATTAATCTCAGCTGTCAAACTTCAATTAGAATCAGGCCTCTGGTGCACACGTATACCGAGTGACTCACCCCTATAACTCTTGTATTATTGAAGATAGAAAAACGAAATTTTGGGGTTGCGCATTATAGATGAATTTACATTTTCTGACATACTCACTTTCTTTGCTGTACCTCCGGTTTGACCGGAAACGACTCCAACTATCGATTTTGAAATGGGACACCCCATATATTTCTACCTATTTCGATTGAGAATGACATTCTGCACTCAACAACGTCTCACTTGTCAATATTTGACAAATAAAGTCATTTTTATTTCAATTTTTATTTTTTGATCTAGAATGCCACGGATCCTGAATCGCTTCAGTTTTGATCAAGTAACACGGGAAAAATACAGTTTTTTTAAAATTATCCAAAAGTTACAAATAATTCTACCGAATAATTTGTCACTTCACACTCTCATCTTGTTTTCACTATTTTTCTGAATAATTGTAAGAAGCTATCATACCTAAAAATAAACAATAAGCATCTGCAAGTCCTATTATTCTATTTATCTGTGACAAACAATTGAAGGCGGTGCTTTCGAAATACAAAATGTGTAACGACCCAGAAAAAAATGCGAATAAGTATCAGTCAGTGAAGAAAAAGAAATAGACGAGTTGGCCAATGTTGGAGCAAACTATACAAATGAATTATCCTAGCATTATTATAACAAAAAATAAAATTCAAAAATGAGCCACTAAGGTTCTAAGCATTCCTCCTTGATCACGGCAAAGTTCAAATTCATTAATTGTTGCTTGCACCACCTAATCTTCTTCTGTTCAAAGAGGTAAAGATGCAACTTCAAATGTCGAAAAATCGTTAAAATAATTAATTTGATCGAAATACAATATTTATTTATAAGCCATATTTGTATGTCTAAGCAATGAAGAGCAATAATAATTTGGAAAATATCTTGACAATGTTGAAAATGGGACCTTCCGGTGCTAAAAGACTTTTTTCAACTTTGACACCTTGTATCTTAAAATCCAGGCCTTTAAGAACATATATTGATATGAACTGTCTATTTAAATTTGGTTCGGAAATGCGGCTTTGTCATTACGGCCTATAAGTGAGTAATACCCTATATAGGGTGTTTCAGAAAGTCGTGCTAATATTTTTGAGGTAGAAAATACATCCAGAAATATACTAAATGACATATAAATCCGAACACCCAGTTTAAATGGTTTGACTTAAATAAAAGTTGGTAAATGTATTTATTTTACCGTAAATAACAAGTGAAAAAATTTTCAGCCTTATCAGTTGGACATTCCGGTTTTTATACTGCTTTTTTTTAATTCACTAACGCTCTAAAAATGAATATTTCAGCCGCAGTAAAGAATCAAGTTGGCGGATTTTGGTTCTTGACATCCTTTACGATCGGTTACGATGCCTAGAGTTCGGAGACCTGAACGATTTCGTCAACTTAGTGAGTTTGATAGGGGCCGTATAGTGGGACTTCGGGAAGCTGGACTTTCTTTTCGGGCAATTGCAGTTAGAGTGCAAAGAAGTGTAGACACTGTGGTTAGGTGTTGTCAGGCATGGCTTCGAGAAGGCCGTACGCAAAGAGCAAGGGGCACTGGACGCCGCCGTAGAACAACAGACCGTGAAGATCGCCGCCTAAGATTATTGGCCTTAAGGGACCGTTTCTCCACTACCAGGTCCATTGCAAATGAACGGTTTGCAGAACACGGAAGACCTATTGGCATGCGAAGTGTTTACCGACGAATGAGAAGTTTTGGCTTGTTTTCATACCGGCCACACTGGGTACTCCCTTTAACTCGAGAACACCGACGTAATCGCCTTGAGTGGTGCAGACAACGGTCACTCTGGGATCAGGAATGGAACAGTATTGTCTTTAGTGACGAGTCTCGATTTTGTTTAGGCATGCACAATGGTCGTGCCAGGGTTAGAAGGCGACGTGGTGAAAGGAGGAATCCACAGTTTTTTGTTGAAAGACATGTTCATCACACTGTTGGAGTTATGGTTTGGGGTGCTATAGCTTATGGTTCCAGGTCACCTTTAATCTTCATCAGAGGTAGCATGAACGCGCAGCGTTATATCCACGAAGTTCTAGAACCCCATCTTTTACCCTATCTTGACACCCTGGCAGATCCAACTTTCCAACAAGATAATGCCCGACCACATGTTGCAAGAGTCACAATAGACTTCTTTCAACATAATGATGTCACATTGTTCCCATGGCCACCAGGATCTCCCGACTTATCCCCAATTGAGCACGTGTGGGATATGATGGGTAGGAGATTGCTCAATTTGCAACGTCCTCCTCAGACTCTAGAAGCACTTCGAGAGGAGTTGGTGGTTGCCTGGAATGAGATACCACAGGAGGACATTGACCACCTGATCAGAAGCATGCCTAGGCGCGTTGGAGAATGCGTAGCACATCAGGGTGTATCCACACATTATTAAAGGTCAAAGGGCTTTAAAGCAGTGCAATCATTTTGAAATTTTTATCATTTACTTATTATGCTTCATTAAGTACTTATACAAAATTTTATTAAAATAAAACTATTTAAACTGGCTGTTCGGATTTATATGTCACTTAGTATATCTAGCCCTACAGAACATGTATACAGACAAATGTTTGCAATTAGTTCATTATTACTGGTAGTCCTTTTTCTTTGTCGCTTAGTATTTATAACATCTCGTTGTTTGATCTTTGGAAGTTATTATACTCACAGTTCTTACGAAGCCACTATCAATGGCATCCCTGATGCGTCTCTCACTGTCAAGCAGAAACGTGTTGCTATAAATTTGAACATTTTCACCGGGGAGCTCAGAATGTAAAGCATAATACGTATCGAGGTTAACAGCACCTCCTTTTCTATTCGGTAACCGTTGACCATTTGGATACTTCAGGAACGGAACATACTGCTCGTCAACGATGCCTAAAAAGACTGACCGTTAGTTACATCCTATTATTTTGGCAATATTATACTAAGCGACATATAAATTCGAACACCCAGTTTAAATGGTTATATTTTAATAAAATTTTGTATAAGTACTTAATGAAGCATAATAAGTAAATGATAAAAATTTCAAGATCATTGCACTGCTTTAAAGCCCTTTGACCTTTAATAATGTGTGGATGCACCCCTGATGTGCTACGCATTCTCCAACGCGCCTAGGCATGCTTCTGATCAGGTGGTCAATGTCCTCCTGTGATATCTCATTCCAGGCAACCACCAACTCCTCTCGAAGTGCTTCTAGAGTCTGAGGAGGACGTTGCAAATTGAGCAATCTCCTACCCATCATATCCCACACGTGCTCAATTGGGGATAAGTCGGGAGATCTTGGTGGCCATGGTAACAATGTGACATCATTATGTTGAAAGAAGTCTATTGTGACTCTTGCAACATGTGGTCGGGCATTACCTTGTTGGAAAGTTGGATCTGCCAGGGTGTCAAGATAGGGTAAAAGATGGGGTTCTAGAACTTCGTGGATATAACGCTGCGCGTTCATGTTACCTCTGATGAAGATTAAAGGTCACCTGGAACCATAAACTATAGCACCCCAAACCATAACTCCAACAGTGTGATGAACCTGTCTTTCAACAAAAAACTGTGGATTCCTCCTTTCACCACGTCGCCTTCTAACCCTGGCACGACCATCGTGCATGCCTAAACAAAATCGAGACTCGTCACTAAAGACAATACTGTTGCATTCCAGATCCCAGAGTAACCGTTGTGTGCACCACGCAAGGCGATTACGTCGGTGTTCTCGAGTTAAAGGGAGGACCCAGTGTGGCCGGTATGAAAACAAGTCAAAACTTCTCATTCGTCGGTAAACACTTCGCATGCCAATATGTCTTCCGTGTTCTGCAAACCATTCATTTGCAATGGACCTGGTAGTGGAGAAACGGTCCCTTAAGGCCACTAATCTTAGGCGGCGATCTTCACGGTCTGTTGTTCTACGGCGGCGTCCAGTGCCCACTGCTCTTTGCGTACGGCCTTCTCGAAGCCATGCCTGACAACACCTAACCACAGTGTCTACACTTCTTTGCACTCTAACTGCAATTGCCCGAAAAGAAAGTCCAGCTTCCCGAAGTCCCACTAAGTTGACGAAATCGTACAGGTCTCCGTACTCTAGGCATCGTAACCGATCGTAAAGGATGTCAAGAACCAAAATCCGCCAACGTTGATTCTTTACTGCGGCTGAAATATTCATTTTTAGAGCGTTAGTGAATTAAAAAAAACAGTATAAAAACCGGAATGTCCAACTGATAAGGCTGAAAATTTTTTCACTTGTTATTTACAGTAAGATAAATACATTCGCCAACTTTTATTAAAATAAAACCATTTAAACTGGGTGTTCGGATTTATATGTCGCTTAGTATATAAACGTGTCATGCACTCTCTTTTCTACGCATCCCTTGCTAAAATCAGGATTTGTACGACGCTATACAACGACTTGCTGGCGCTTTTCAAAAATTATTCCACCCATCAGTATGAAAATAACATAAATTTGAAACCGAAAACTTTTCAAAATAAATGAATGTAAACTGACAGTAAAGCAAGTAAACAAACTTTAGTTTCCAAAGGCGGTTTGATATTGTTTTGCGTTTGTTAATATTAAAGGCAATGAATTTTGTGCATAAACTTAGGACATACCTACGTTAGTTGCTAATAAATGATATATAGATGTCATGAAGTTTCAGAATCACAGGCACAGGTGTTTTGACTATTCCTCTGACATTAGTTTTCAAATGTAACAGCGACAGATGACTTTTTCTTCTTTTTTTCGATTCAGTTCAAGTCAGTTTATTTTGCATTAAGAAATTCATGGTAAATATTACAAAATGGTGAAAGAACACAACAGATTAAAATGGTCTCCGAACCCTCCCAAAAAAAGACCGGACAACATCATATCGTCGAAGGCGAGAGAGAGAAATATTGTGGCTTTCAAACCCCAATATGAAGGCGTAAGTTGCATTTCTATCTTGTGTTGCCAGTACCAAACTGTACAGAATCACGAATAGTAAAAACATTGCAAAAGTGAAGAAACCGCATTGCCTAGGCAGTTTCTCGCTGAACGAACGTCTAGTTTCTGGGAATCTAGCGGCACCACTTGAGAAGGTCCACAAAAAAAAGGTTTTGCAATTGATTTTACTTGGTCGATTCTGTAAAATTTGCTATTACCGTTACGTAAATCAATGCCAATACTTCATTTGACCGTTTGATTTAAAAAATGGTGAATGAGCTATATAATAATGGATGTATTTTTACTCGTAATTGAAACGGACAAAAAAGCACAGTCATCAAAGAATTACAAATACTATAAGCAAAAATAACATGAAAGGTCGCAAAGAAAAACTAGCGGTTTGGGTCGATATTGAAATACAGTGGACCCCCGAAAATCCGGCCCTGATTTGGAAATCTGGTGCCGTGGAATGGATAAAGAGGAAAATGTTTTTCATGAAATGCCTGACGAAGAGATTATAAAATAGGTTTCTAATTATACTACAAACAATCAGGAAAATAACGACGACGTGATTGCAACTGCTCCACAAGTCACAGCACAAGACGCAACTAAAGCCTTTGAGCTAGGTTTACAATGGGCTGAAGAGAATGGTAAATCCTACAACGAACTTTTACTTTTGAGAAGACTGAGAGACAAAGCTCTGATCTCGCGTTATAACAACCTTAAACAAAAAAAAATTGGTGAATATGTCCAAGCTTCATAATTTGATAAATTCATCAATGATTTTGATTAATAATTCTTGATTATTTTGGTACATATGTATATGCGTTTATGCTTAATTTTATAATAAAACGTAAGCTCTCTATTGTTATTTAATTTACTAAATTCGACATACATAAACTATGTATGATTTGTACTTCAAAGTACATACATATACATAACATATATAATCTTACCATTGGATATGTAATTTGTCGGATTACAAGGTACCCTTTTGTAAAAAATTCCCGGACTATAGGGGGTCTTAGGCAGGGCTCTATAATCCAACAAATTCGATAGTCCGACACTGCCCTGCATAATGTTTGTCGGATTACCGGAGGTCCACTGTACTTCATTAATTTGACCGTTTGATTTAAAAAATGGTGAATGAGCTATATAATATGTACTATGCACATTCACCATATACTGAAATAATAATGCATGTATTTTTACTCGTAATTGAAACGAACCAAAAAGCACAGCCATCAAAAAATTACAAATATTATAAACAAAAATAACTTAATAAAGGTCGCAAAGAAAAACTAGCGGTGGGTAGGTTTGGGTCCATATTGAATTAATGTCTTGCACGTTCACCAAATATTGTAATAATAGTACATGTTTGTTTTTCTACTCGTAATTGGAACGGAACAAAGCAAAGCCATAAAAAATTACAAAAACTATAAGCAAAAACACTACATAAAAGGTTACAAGGGAAAACTAGGAGTGTGAGGGTTTGTAACCATATTGAAATCACTTGCAGGAGGGCAGAGAGAATATGTGGAAGCTAATGAGCAATGAAGACTTGAGAGAGTGGTTCAAGGAATGGGCGGTTTTCAACAAAGATGTTTACACAAGGGAACAGATAATCAAAGAAGAATCCAAGATCCAACGTAAATGGATACAGAGGATGATGACCTATAGACAGCCGACCAAACTTGAGATCATTGAGGAACGGTTACGAAAGTAAGACTTTGGGCAATTTCTAGTCAATTTACGGAATTATCATCATATCTATCCGTAGCTGGACTTTCCCAGAAAATTGGAAATATCCAGCCCATCAAAAAAATTATCTAAACCGCCCCTTACAATACTATAGCTAAATTGGGATCTTCTGGAGAACCTCGAACACCACGGCTTACGGCTTGATTAGCGACAGGCAGTATAGTTTTTAACACCAGCGATCGACAGGGAACCTTCTATCTTACATCACGCAACTCATCCAGTCTTATGGTGAGGCTCATGGCGTTGCTCTTGATATCACGAAAGCTGGTGCTTTCTTATGCAAACTTCCACCTATGTCCTCCCAGGAAAGCTAACCGCAAGATATCCGTCGTAATTGACGGGTTCTCTCCTTCATCTCACAACGCCAACGTGGGTCTCCTCCAGGGATCAGTCTTGGCTCTGACATTGCTTCTTTTACAAATCAGCGACCTCCTTTCCTGTACGATCAATCCAATCCACAGCTTCGCTGATGAAGACACTCTACATGCAGGAATTCAGACTGACCAGCCGATCTCTGCCTGTGAGCTGGAAAAAGAAGACTAGCAGCGACTAGACGAGAGACCTGGAGGATATCACTGCCTGGGAACTCAGCAATCTTGCACAGTTTGATGCTCCCAAATCACAGTACTGTACCTTGACGAAGAAGAAGCTTCCTAGTACCCTTGCGGTTTCGATGGATGTCCGAATTCTACCTAAAACCCGTTGATCTCGGCTGGTCGGAGTCCAGATCACGAAGTACTTGATCTGGCATGAACAGCGGCAGCTGCTGGAAAAAAGCTAGGCTATTTTTTTAGGGCTAACAATTACTCTTTTCAACATGACCTCCTCACTCGGTACAAGGCCCACTGGTATGCCAAGGATCTTCACTGTTTGACTCAATTTGATCAACTTGGTTTCAGGCCAATATCTACTGGCGCCAAAGGTAGCAAAATAGACATTAGATGCAAGTACAAACCAGCCTGTGCCGAGCCATCCATCAGCGCAGGTTCTGCACCGCTTGGTGTTCAACAGTCGAAGAATAAAGATCATCGACATCCAGAAACGAAATCAAAGGATGAATCGAAGGAGAATGAGAAGAAAACCGCAGTAAAAACCGCAAAAAATGGCGGTCTACGAGGAAATAAACCTGAAGTTTGCAAGTGCAACCAGAAACCTCTAGTACGGCTTTGCAGATGTGGCATTTCTCAATAATTGTACCGCCTTTACAATATTTCTTTATTATTTTTCAAAGTTAAATAAATGCAAGAATCTCTACATTGCGCAGTGTATTATAAACTTGAGGTGTTACTTGCTTTCGGTCATAATTTTTTAAATGGTCTAGAATTTTAATACATTCAAGTTATAAGTTATTCTATTGCCACATGCTTCTACTTTGAACGAAATCTACATATCTGCTTTACGAAAATACGATCACATCCTTGACAAATTTGTAATGTTAGGCTGGCTAAATTCTATATTTGTTCCTTCATTCATAATGTAATTTGATATATATCAACATATCTGCATAGCAAAGTAACTTCTCGTGCTGACACCCATAATGTGAATTTCAATCAATTTTTATACGTGTCGCCAAAATTTTGCAACACCTCAAAAGTCCACCTCCAAATCACTTTAAAACCGTTTTAAAATTACTATTGTCTCAAATATACTAAGTGACATATAAATCCGAACACCCAGTTTAAATGGTTTTATTTTAATAAAAGTTGGTGAATGTATTTATCTTACTGTAAATAACAAGTGAAAAAATTTTCAGCCTTATCAGTTGGACATTCCGGTTTTTATACTGCTTTTTTTTAATTCACTAACGCTCTAAAAATGAATATTTCAGCCGCAGTAAAGAATCAACGTTGGCGGATTTTGGTTCTTGACATCCTTTACGATCGGTTACGATGCCTAGAGTACGGAGACCTGTACGATTTCGTCAACTTAGTGAGTTTGATAGGGGCCGTATAGTGGGACTTCGGGAAGCTGGACTTTCTTTTCGGGCAATTGCAGTTAGAGTGCAAAGAAGTGTAGACACTGTGGTTAGGTGTTGTCAGGCATGGCTTCGAGAAGGCCGTACGCAAAGAGCAAGGGGCACTGGACGCCGCCGTAGAATAACAGACCGTGAAGATCGATGCTTAAGATTATTGGCCTTAACGGACCGTTTCTCCACTACCAGGTCCATTGCAAATGAATGGTTTGCAGAACACGGAAGACCTATTGGCATGCGAAGTGTTTACCGACGAATGAGAAGTTTTGGCTTGTTTTCATACCGGCCACACTGGGTCCTCCCTTTAACTCGAGAACACCGACGTAATCGCCTTGAGTGGTGCAGACAACGGTCACTCTGGGATCAGGGATGGAACAGTATTGTCTTTAGTGACGAGTCTCGATTTTGTTTAGGCATGCACGATGGTCGTGCCAGGGTTAGAAGGCGTCGTGGTGAAAGGAGGAATCCACAGTTTTTTGTTGAAAGACATGTTCATCACACTGTTGGAGTTATGGTTTGGGGTGCTATAGCTTGTGGTTCCAGGTCACCTTTAATCTTCATCAGAGGTGACATGAACGCGCAGCGTTATATCCACGAAGTTCTAGAACCCCATCTTTTACCCTATCTTGACACCCTGGCAGATCCAACTTTCCAACAAGATAATGCCCGACCACATGTTGCAAGAGTCACAATAGACTTCTTTCAACATAATGATGTCACATTGTTACCATGGCCATCAAGATCTCCCGACTTATCCCCAATGGAGCACGTGTGGGATATGATGGGTTGGAGATTGCTCAATTTGCAACGTCCTCATCAGACTCCAGAAGCACTTCGAGAGGAGTTGGTGGTTGCCTGGAATGAGATACCACAGGAGGACATTGACCACCTGATCAGAAGCATGCCTAGGCGCGTTGGAGAATGCGTAGCACATCAGGGTGCATCCACACATTATTAAAGGTCAAAGGGCTTTAAAGCAGTGCAATCATTTTGAAATTTTTATCATTTACTTATTATGCTTCATTAAGTACTTATGCAAAATTTTATTTAAATAAAACCATTTAAACTGGGTGTTCGGATTTATATGTCACTTAGTATATTTTGTTCAATTCAATATGCTGTTTTACTTCCCATGCCTATTGGTGGGGAAGTATTCTAACCGCGAAAATTTTGGAAAATGAGATATTATGTTTTTTGGATGTCATACGTATACCTTGTTGCTAACAGAATCATTAAAAATCATAATACAGAAGACTTACCATCGAAATGAAGTTCTGGATCTTCGGGCTTTCCCGTAACTACCCTCTCTAGATGATGCTTCGCAAAAAGCTGTTGGTAAAAATGTAAAAACACTTCTCCCCGTCTAGGTTGAAGCTTAAACTCTTTAGAACTCATCCACAATGGAAATCTGATGTTGAAATAGTAGTACATAGCGTTTATGCCTATATCTTCGTATAGATACACCAAGGGTGTCCCACCACCTGGATATCTGTACATCGACTCTATCCTATTATCCTTGAAGAAGTCTCTAGACATGGTAACGTTGTTGGAAGCTGAAATATACTCAGTGACAAAGAAAATGGAGTACCCAGTAAAAGTGGGTTTATTTGAGTGGAATTTACGAGTATATACTCGCAAAGGGCTCTACTCTTTCATCCAAGGATTTTGTTTGTGATTGCGAGCCCCGCACGCACAGGAGGTCCTCACGCATCCGGTTCTTGGTTTTATAGCCGTTTCATGACTATCGGCAAGAAACGAATACAATATCGTTGTCGTCTACTACACAAAGTTATTAAAATTCTCATTTATTTAAAAAATATAGGATGGCAACCCTAACACTTAAGTAGATGAGTATGCACGGCTCACCTAGTTTGCTGCACAGATATCCTCTTTCCCTCAGAACAGTTGGAAATCGACCTAATTTCCACTTTGGAGACACTTGACACGCACGTCACACCACTGAGACACAACCGAGAACCCTATAGTGCACACCAGTGCTAAAGAAAAGTAAACCGAATAGAGCTCTGCACGGAGCTGTGAACGCGTAGACATTCCGCTGCGCCGACGATTGCCGAGAGACTGAAGCGTGTGAGTGCTGTACCTCGCTGTGGCGATACGGTACAGCCGGGTAGTACAGCCACGCCCCTTTCCAGCTCCCACTCCGCGCGTCTGCTACCGGTCAACGTAAACATCGAGTCGCTTCGGGAGCAGACACGCGGAGTGGTAGCTAGAAAGAGGCGTGGCTGTACTACTCGGCCGTACCGTATCGCCGCAGCGACGTACAGCACTCGTACTCTTCAGTCTGTCGGCAACCGTCGGCACAGCGAAATGTCCAGGCGTTCACAGCTCCGTGCAGAGCTGTATTCGGTTTAGCTACTTTTTTTTGTTTTGGTGTTCACTATAGGGTTCTCGATTGTCTCTCAGTGGTGTTTTAGTGTTGTGACGTGGGTGTCTTCAAACTGGAAATTAGGTCTACACTGAGAGACTAGTCATATACTGAGGTATTTGGAAAAACTAAACTTTGGCCAAAATGTTTTTATTTTTGTCTGATTTTATTTTAAGAAATGTCAAAAAACTAATGGCACTACGAGTACATGATGGTGTTTTTAAATGTTGTGCACGTCAGACAGGACCTTGTATCTAATAGCATCTTATTCTACGACTTCAACGATGTATCACGTTACATTTGTTTTTTTTTAGTTATAAACAAATGTGTTTTTTTTTTCTATTTTTTCATTTTATTTAAGTAAGCGTTGTAAATAAATGCTTGATGTAAGAATGTGTTATTACTGAATTTAACCTAGTCTGATCCTTATCTTGGCCACCTTGTAATACATTATTTTATAAAGAAATTTACAGAAACATGCACTAATCAAACGTTCTTGTAAGTATTCTTATGTACTTACATTCATTTCTGAAAAATCTCAAAACTATTAATAAAGCCTCGAACAAAAGACTATTTTTAGTCCAAGAAATTGGTGATAGTCAATAATAAGAAAGTGTTATTGTCTGTTTCCAATGTGAGATCCGATGTTTCCAAAAAAGCATCACGCTCAAGAAAGGTTTATAAACCTGGCTCTCAGTAACGATGGGATTGTTAGGCAACCAGAGTTACGCGACCGTGGATAACGAGCAGTATAAATTGCAGCCAAAATACGTGAGTGTTCGCGACGGTATTCAACACATATCGAGAAGCATGAGCGACATCTAGGTAACTTCGATGAAACGCTATAAAGCTTTTGCACGTTAAATATCCAACCAGATGGCGGAAGCAGTCAGTTACAGTCGAGACAGTCAAACCGTCCCAATTTTATCATCAATATGCTAGACAGATACGGCCTGCAAAGGAAAATCTTTCTGACAACGGTGATAAATGACCACTGTAGAATAAAAATTTAAATTCTTTCTTGAACATCAAGGAAGCGTCACTTAATTTGCAGACTCTCCCAGCGGCATCATACAGGGTCCGGTACAAAGGTCGGACGGTTTTTGAAAAATTACAAAATCGTTCATTTTTCTCAAAAACAAACTTATTGACGGATTCGGATCGTCGTCGTAATTCAGGCGAAAAGAAGTTGGTACATCGCACCAAACCTTCAATTTTAGGGTGTGCAGCGGTCTTTCACGTAACTGTCGCGAATTTTCATTAACCCAAATAACTAGCAAGCCATTAAGATGAAAGTGAGCTTGATCACTCATGAACAAAATGACCATCAAAATGAAGTTCTGGATCTTCGGGCTTTCCCGTAACTACCCTCTCTAGATGATGCTTCGCAAAAAGCTGTTGGTAAAAATGTCAAAACACTTCTCCCCTTCTAGGATGGAGCTTAAACTCTTTACAACTCATCCACAATGGAAATCTGATGTTGAAATAGTAGTACATAGCGTTTATGCCTATATCTTCGTATATATACACCACCTGGATATCTGTACATCGACTATATCCTATTATCCTTGAAGAAGTCTCTAGACATTGTAATGTTGTTGGAAGCTGAAATATACTCAGTGACAAAGAAAATAGAGTACCCAGTAAAAATGGGTTTATTTGAGTGGAATTTACGGGTATGTACTTATGTCGGACAAAGGGCTCTACTCTTTCATCCAAGGATTTTGTTTGTGATTGCGAGCCCCGCACGCACAGGAGGTCCTCACGCCTCCAGTTCTTGGTTTTATAGCCGTTTCATGACTATCGGCAAGAAACGAATATAATATCGTTGTCGTCTACTACACAAAGTTATTAAAATTCTCATTTATTTAAAAAATATAGGATGGCAACCCTAACACTCAAGTAGATGAGTATGCACGGCTTACCTAGTTTGCTGCACAGATATCCTCTTTCCCTCAGAACAGTTGGAAATAGACCTAATTTCCACTTTGGAGGCACTTGACACACACGTCACACCACTGAGACACAACCGAGAACCTTATAGTGCGCACCAGTGCTAAAGAAAAGTAAACCGAATAGAGCTCTGCACGGAGCTGTGAACGCGTAGACATTCCGCTGCGCCGACGATTGCCGAGAGACTGAAGCGTGTGAGTGCTGTACCTCGCTGTGGCGATACAGTACAGCCGGGTAGTACAGCCACGCCCCTTTCCAGCTCCCATTCCGCACGTCTGCTACCGGTCAACGTAAACATCGAGTCGCTTCGGGAGCAGACGCGCGGAGTGGCAGCTGGAAAGGGGCGTAGCTGTACTACCCGGCCGCACCGTATCGCCGCAGCGACGTACAGCATTCGTACGCATCAGTCTCTCGGCAACTGTCAGCGCAGCGCAATGTCCACGGGTTCACAGCTCCGTGCAGAGCTGTATTCGGTTTAGCTACTTTTTTTCAGTTGTGGTGTTCACTATAGGGTTCTCGATTGTCTCTCAGAGGTGTTTTAGTGTTGTGACGTGGGTGTCAAGTGTCTTCAAAGTGGAAATTAGGTCTACTTCCAACTCTTCTGAGGGAAACAGGATACATCTGCCGCAAACTAGGTGAGCCTTGCATACTCATCTAGCTGTATGTTAGGGTTGACATCCTATGTTTTTTAAATGAATTGCACTGAGAGATTAGTCATATACTGAGGTATTTGGAAAAACTAAAATTTGGCCAAATTGTTTTTATTTTTGTCTGACTTTATTTTAAGAAATGTCAAAAAACTAATGGCACTACTTGGGGCACTACGAGTACATGATGGTGTTTTTAAATGTTGTGCACGTCAGACAGGACCCTGTATCTAATAGCATCTTATTCTACGATTTCAACGATGTATCACGTTACATTTGTTTTGTTTTTTAGTTATAAACAAATGTATTTTTTTTTTCTATTTTTTCATTTTATTTAAGTAAGCGTTGTAAATAAATACTTGATGTAAGAATGTGTTATTACTGAATTTAACCTAGTCTGATCCTTATCTTGGCCACCTTGTAATACATTATTTTACATGTTACATTTGTTTTTTTTTTTTAGTTATAAACAAATGTGTTTTTTTTCTATTTTTTCATTTTATTTAAGTAAGCCTTGTAAATAAATGCTTGATGTAAGAATGTGTTATTACTGAATTTAACCTAGTCTGATCCTTATGTTGGCCACCTTGTAATACATTATTTTAGAAAGAAATTTACAGAAACATGCACTAATCAAACGTTCTTGTAAGTATTCTTACGTACTTACATTCATTTCTGAAAAATCTCAAAACTATTAGCAAGGCCTCGAACAAAAGACTATTTTTAATCCAAGAAATTGGTGATAGTCAATAATAAGAAAGTGTTATTGACTGTTTCCAATGAGAGATCCGATGTTTCCAAAAAAGCCTCACGCTCAAGAAAGGTTTATAAACCTGGCTCTCAGTAACGAAGGGACGGTTAGGCAACCAGAGTTACGCGACCGTGGATAACGAGCAGTATAAATTGCAGCCAAAATACGTGAGACGTTAAATATCCAACCAGATGGCGGAAGCAGTCAGTTACAGTCGAGACAGTCAAACCGTCCCAATTTTATCATCAAAATGCTAGACAGATACGGCCAGCAAAGAAGAATCTTTCTGACAACGGTGATAAATGACCACTGTAGAACAAAAATTTAAATTCTCTCTTGAACATCAAGGAAGTGTCACTGTTTCCACTGTTCCATTTACCAGTCTCATCACTTAATTTACAGACTCTCCCAGCGGCATCATACAGGGCCAGGTACAAGGTCGGACGGTTTTTGAAAAATCACAAAATCGGTATTTTTCTCAAAAACAAACTTATTGACGGATTCGGATCGTCGTCGTAATTCAGGCGAAAAGAAGTTGGTACATCGCACCAAACCTTCACTTTTAGGGTGTGCAGCGGTCTTTCACGTAACTGTCGCGAATTTTCATCCCAAATAACTAGCAAGCCATTAAGATGAAAGTGAGCTTCATCACTCATGAACAAAATGAGGTTCTCATTTTGCTCGATAAGTGCTTCCATCTCACGTGCGAAGTTCATTCGTACAGCCGTGATAGACTCATTATGTTGGACAAAATTTGGTGCTCGACCGCCTATTGGTAAAAATGCTAAGAACACCCGAGTAGAAGGGAACTCTCGACATTTCAAAAGCATCCGTCCTTTATGTCGGACCCTGTATATTCAGTGTTATGCATTGTTGGTAAAATTAAACCTCTTACCTTCTTCCATAAGATGCGAGGCGCAGCAAACCTTTATGTAATTTTTCATATCTGGGTGTTTCAAACTAAAATCGAGCCTTTCTTTGCTTTCCTCTGCTTCCAGCACATCCTTAATATTGATGAATAAATATGGATTCACCTCATAAATTGGCGGAAGTACTATGCTTCTGCAATCCTCCCTAGCAGAACCAGTTATTAGTGGTATTCAGCGGGCTTACAGAATGCTGCCAAAGCATAATAAAACATGAAAAAATTTAGCAGGTAGGTGGGGAAATGCTTGGTTTCCATAACACTGGACAACAAATTTTAGTTTTTTTATTGTATCTTGTGGGAAAAGTGCCCCTCTTTGTTAATTTTGGGGCGCTGAATCCAAAAATGACAATGAAATAAAAAAATTTGTTGCGGTTTAGAAAAAAAACTTTTTATTTTTAAGGATATATTAAAAAAAGTAACAAGATTCATATACTTATAAGAATCACTATATGCGCTGTCTTTTTGCTGTTCTTTTGTGGATCGTTTCTAGAGCATCTCTACCAAGAGTCCAACAGTAGTCTGCAAGCATGGAAGGATTCCACTTTCCCTGGTACCTCTTTTCCATTGTTGAAATATCCTGATGAAAACGTTCGCCGTGCTCATCACTTACGGCTCCGCAATTGTCAGGAAAAAAGTCCAGGTGTGAGTGTAGGAAATGTATCTTAAGAGACATATTACAGCCCATCTTTTGATACGATGACAGCATATTTTTGACAAGGGTTTTATAGTGGTCAGCTTTTCTATTTCCCAAGAAATTGGTGACCACCAGACGGAAATCATTCCAAGCAGTTTTTTCAATACCTGTTAAAGTGTTTTCAAACTGTGTATCTTTCAAAATATTTCGAATCTGTGGCCCAACAAAAATACCTTCTTTAACCTTTGCCTCACTTAGTCTTGGAAATTTCTGACGCAGGTATTGAAAAGCTGACCCAACTCTATCTAATGCCTTGACAAAGTTTTTCATTAGGCCCAATTTGATATGCGAATATGAGTGGTGGTAATAAATTTTTTTTCGGATCTACTAATGGCGTATGCTGTACATTTTTTTGACCTGGCTCTAGGAATTGATGAACAGGCCAGTTTTGTCTGATGTAATGAAGTGCCTTTACCCGACTGTCCCACTCACACAAAAAACAGCAAAACTTTGTGTAGCCTAGCTGCAGCCCAAGTAAAAGTGCAACAACTTTCAAATCGCCACAAATATGCCATTGGTGCTCATCGTATTCTATGCATGTCAATAGGTACTTCATATTGTCATATGATTCTTTCATGTGAACGGCATACCCTACAGGAAGAGATGGTAAAATATTTCCAATATGCAATAACACTGCCTTTAAACTCAATGTTGAACTGTCTATAAACAATCTCCATTCTTCTGGGTTATAGTTTATATTTAAAGCCGCCAGTAAGCCGTTAATGTTACTGCAGAAAACCAAGTTATTCTCCATATTGAAAAATGGTTCTAAGTCTTTGTGGCGTTTACGAAAAATACATACCGAAACATCGTCTTCTAACAAGTTCCACTGCTGCAGTCTTGATCCAAGTAACTCTGCCTTACATTTTGGAAGTTCTAAATCTCTTTCAAGATCATTTAATTCTGACTGTGTTATTTTGTGCGGTTGGTGGCATGACGTGCTCGGTATAAAATCAGGATCTCTTGACGTTGATGGCATATCTTCTTCCTGACGAATCACTCGATCGCCATGATCTGATTCGTTTTCTGATTCGCAAGTGTAGGATTCTGGGGGTATTGGAATAGGATTTTCGTCACTGTGAGGCACAGGTCTCATCGCAGATCGTATGTTTGGGTAATTAATAACCGATTTTTTTTTCTTGGACATACCTGTGGCTTGTCCAACACAAGGTACCATGCAAAAGTAACAAACATTAATATGATTTGTAGGCTCTCTCCAAACCATTGGGACAGCAAAGCGCATAGACCGTTTTTTGCCATTTAACCAGCTCCTCAGACTTGAAGCACATGTATTACAGCAGAAGTGGGGTTCCCACTGTTTGTCTTGATCACCTAGTTTACAACCGAAATAAAGCTGATATGCCTTTGTCATTAGTGGAGTAATAGACCGTCTCTGAGACGCAAAAGTCACATCACCACACACGTAACAAAACTGATCTGGATTGTTTACACACTTTCGAGACATCTTGCATGAACGCTGTCAGCCAACTGAGGAAAAAATGGCTAATATAAAACAATATAATGTACACGTATGTATAACGTAACACAATCATGCCGATTACATGATCTTTCCTTGCCGAATATAAAAATGTAGCACGTGCATTCTTGTGAATTACAGTATATTAACACTGTCACAGCAGGAACACATATAATTACCGTATCTCTAAAACTTGAACTAATATTGAAAAAATAAGTTTCATTCCGGTTTTAGCACATTAAAAATAGTAATATTTTGTTGATTTTATTTAGGATATTTTTTGGCTGTTGATCAGTGTAATGGGAGAAAATCGGGTATATTGTACCGGTTTTTAAATTATACCAACTCTTCAGCTACTTAATTGAGTTCCAACAATATCTAGTTAACGCCTTTGAAGCCTCTTGTCCAAATATATCTGACCAAAACACAACATACAGTCGTTCGAAAAAGTTGAAATTATTTAGTTTCTGTATTACATGTTGTTGGTCATGGACGTTAAAATTATAACACGAGCCCACAACGAAACGAAAGCTTCCAAGTAAGTAAAAAATGTTTACTTGAAATATTGTTGGACCAGCGAAAGATTGCAAGCCGAAAGAATGCGGACAAAAAATTGCGAAGTTGTCAGATGTTCTACATAAAATGCGGTCCATACATATTAACATATTTAAGATATAGAATTGTTCCGCTGAATTTGGCAATGTAGCTGGAAAACCCAGGCCGCAGGTAAACATCCGGTCGCTGATTGGTCCAAAACTCTTATCTTATCTGAAACTAGAATAACGTGCCGATGGCACGGTCATTTATAAACCTACTCCCATAGGCGTAGGCAGTTGGCAAATACTTTGAAAATATAATTTACTGTTTAGTGGTGATAATGGAATTCAAGCATGGGAAAGTTATTCACAGCCAGGCAAGGGAAATAATAGCAAACGTGATACGTGCTTGCGATGCAGAAGCGGCTAACAATACTTTCGTTTATCCACTGGTAGCTAGAAATGCAAGGGCGGCATATTATACGGGTGTTAGTGAACGAACTATAAGTAAAATTAGAAAAGAAGATAAAGACAGGCAAAATGCAACCTCCACACAGCCTTTAGCTTCTCCCGGAAAAAAGAGATCACGCCCTTCTGTGATCCAAAAAATTGATGGAGTCGATTTTTCCATTATTCGGAGAATGATAGAAAAATTTTACTGTGATTTTAAAGTGGTACCTACTTGTAGTAAACTTCTAATCAAACTGAAGGAAGAAATGGAATTTCCATTTGGTAAAGAATCGTTGAGGCTGCTTTTAAAAGCAAAAGGATTTTACTGGCGTAAATGCCACAACAAAAGGAAATTACTAATGGAAAGACCCAGTATTTTACATTGGCGATACAAGTATCTTAGGTCTATTAAAAAGTTCCGGGAAGAAGGAAGGCATATTATTTATTTGGACGAAACTTGGGTTGATAATGACCTCACTTTCAAGAAATGCTGGCAAAGCGAAGAAATTATGGGTGTCCTGAGCAATATAAGTTCTACAGGTAATAAAGTTTCTTTCACCTCGATTTTGCTTATTATACATTTTTCTCAATTTTGGAATATTCTTAATAAGTGCTCATTTAATTTGTCTAATTGAATACATAATCCCTTGCAAGTATTTTTTTCTCAAAAATATGTTTTTTATACATAGTGATTCAAAAAGGTGTTGGCAAACTTAAAATAACACTAAAATGAGGCTATTTATTCATTTCCAGGACGACTTATAATTGTTCATGCGGGTTCGCAAGATGGTTTTGTTCCTGGAGCCTGTCTCATTTTCAAGGCTGGCTGTGCCACTGGTGATTATCACGGTCAAATGAACCAAGAAAATTTCACGAAGTGGCTTACTGAAAAACTATTTCCTAACATTCCTCCTAATAGTATTATAATAATGGATAATGCACCTTACCATTCAGCTTTGGAAGACAAGCCTCCAACTAGATCTTCTCTAAAAAGAGACATCATCACGTGGTTGAGCAAAAAAGGTATAGAGCATGATCCTAATGCTAAAAAAATGGAGCTTTATGAAATAGCTTGTCTACATAGGCCACCATCTGATGAGAAAAATTATAAGATAGATAATTTAATAAGAAGTTTCGGACACACCCCACTTCGAACGCCACCCTATATGTGTCAGTTTAATCCCATAGAGATGATTTGGGCACAAGTAAAATTTTTCATTAGAAGCCATAATACAAGCGGCGAATTTACTATAAAAAAACTAGATGAAATTTCTAATAAGGCCATCGCTTCAGTAAGTGCCAGTGACTGGCAAAAGGTTATTGGACATGTTATAAAAATTGAAGATGAATATTGGGAAAAAGACAGTCTCATTCAAGAAATACAGGAAGAAATAATAATCAACATAGGAGGTGAAAGTGATAGCAATGACAGTTCCTCAGACAGTGATCATGACTCTAATCAGGATTGAAACTATACTAGATTGGCTACCTTTTAGAATTTTTAGATATTCATTTATTATACTATTGGTTTGTGGCTTTTAGTATCTCAGTAGAAAGTCTAATTCTATGTGTTGTTTATGGGTTATTTCATCAAGAAATTACTTTTTGTTTTCCTATATTTTTCTATTCAGTCAGATATTTTTGACTTGTTGTATTCTATTTTAGAAGAATGCATAATTTGTTTTGCTGTTCAATCATAATGCGTACATAGGAATATTACTTGTTGCCTAAAAAATATATTTATTTTGTTCTCAATATTCAGTGTTTGTGTATATTTATTTCTTATAATGTATGTTTGGTATCACGTCATTATGAATCGCAAAAAAATATTAATACTACCAGTTGTAATAAAATATAAATTCAATTAATAATTCAAGTCTCTCCGATCTCCGCCTATGACTCCATATAAAATCGTCTAATGGTAAGGTTTTTTCATCGCATTTCCCCCTTTCGTCCCTAGCAATCTTTGGCTGGTCGATCTATACAGGTAGTGTGCAATGGTCCCTTGCGAGGCCTATCAAAAAGTTTACAGAT